AAGTGGCAATCTTGTCTGTATATTTTATTAGTAACATATGATTATATTTTTTATATACAGTACCTGACAAAAGTTTTTATTAAGTTAGAATTTGTTAAGCTTTTAAATAAACTTGTAGAGAAGATTTTTTTAATTCTACTAGTAATTAGATTTTTAAAATCAATCTGATAAATTTCAAGATATTTGGAGTTAAAAACACAAATAACTAATTTGCAGATCTCAAAAGAGATTAGCTTATTAAAAATTTTTTTAAATTTTAAAAAATTAATTATTTATATTTATTTACTAAGGTAAGTATAGGTATTATGACGCAGTCAAGTATTATAGCAAATAACTTGTGATCTATCGATCATAATCAAATAATTTTGGTACTATTCGATTCATCTCATCGAGACAAATTGAATAATACCAAAATCATCCGATTCTGATTGCTAGATCACGAGATATCTTTAATTTAAAAAAAGCCACAAAAAAGATAAATTAAGGTGAGTATAGATATTATAACGCATTAAATATACTGATATGAAAACTTTGTCAAATTGATTTAAATATTGTCAAACCTTATTAAAGTAAGTTTATTTTAACTTGAAATAAGTTTTTTTTTTAAAAAAAAATTCTTTTTATTTTAAAAAAAAAATTTTTATAATTGCATAAAATTTTTTTCCAAAATCGAGATCGTTGAGGTAACGACCAAAAATGATGCAGGCTATATATAATCAGGTAGTACCACTTTTTTTTGCATTTTTTTTTTCAATTCATTTTGCCTCTCTAATACGTTGTTGTTCCATCTTCATACGGTCCCTTTCCTCTTTCTTTTGCTTGCGAATTTCCTGCTTCTGCACTTTCTCAGTCTCCTGTGCTATCCGTCGTTGGATGGCCATTTCTTTTTTTTGTTTTTTTTCATTGGCAGTTCTTTCTGCTTCCTCCTCCGCTTCTCTCAACAAATGCAACGATTTATCGTTAGTGAGAAGCTGAGCAAAAGGCATGGTCTTGCGTCTTTTTTTTGGCTGTTGAGTTTTGGGCTGTTCTTCATCTGCTCTCAGCTCTTCGATCTGCTTTGAATAACAGTGCAAAGGATATTTAAACACCAGTCGCAAGGGACTGGTATCTCAAACTTTATTTAATGTTAATGGCCCTAATTCAAATTACACAGTATATTTATAACACATAACATTTGATCTAGTCCCGATATATAAAAATATAAGCGTTGTATGATAATTGTTTAATGAAAAAAAAAATTTTTATAAACATATAGTACATGAGTAGAAATAACATAATTATGTTATTTCCACTTAATCTAGATTATGTCTGATGATGGGATCATATGCCTGTCGTCATTCGAGTGACGAATGATTCATGCTTGCGTCGTCAGAGATATATTAGTATTCACTCCATCATTCAAGTGACGAACGATTCATGCTTGCGTCATCATTCGAGTGACGATTAGGTCACGAGTTCGTTATCACATTTGCTTCGTCATTTGAGTGATGAGCATTTTGTATTTGCGTCGTCATTTTCAAGTGACAATAAATTTATGTTTGCATCATCATTTGCTGGCCTAATGTTACCTACCTATTGCTATCGGGAATGCTATCTAATTACTATCGGGTATACTATACACATGCTATGAGGCAGAGCCTTGAATTTCTGATTCATCAAATATATGTCTCATAATTGCTATCGAGTATGCTATATACATGTTAGCGGGTATGCTATCTGTCATTAAAAAATCTTTGGTGACAGGTTCGGTAACAACTTTGGTGACAGGTTTATTATTAAATTTTGCTTTTTAATTCTTTTTTATCTTGTTCTTATATACTGTTACTAATGTCACTGAAAATAAAGTAAAATTCTAGAAAAAAAATAAAACTTTTTCTTATGATATACCTATATTATATATGTAATATACCTACCTTTGATATATACCCGATATATATTTTATATATGTAATATACCCATATATAAAAAAAAAGAAAAAAAGCTGGAGAAATTCGATCTTTTTTAGAGTTTTCAGTGACAGATATCTAGAAAGCTTTCTAAAAGTTTAAAAATGCAGAATTTGATAGAGATCTCGACTCTGAAAATTTTCTGTCACTAAAATTTTCGGTGACACTTGGCCATATTAAGATATCGCATATATACTTACTATATATTTTTTATAATACTACTTTGTGCCGTCTTCTTCAGCTTCTCCCGATGATAGTGATCCTGAGAACGATACTTACCAGCATGAGTTCTGCATACTCCATATATCGAAGATGTTAACTTAACACAACCATATTCTTTATATGGTATGCGGGTAGGAGAATCCCAGTGAATTGTACATCCCTCGGGTCGATAGCAACCTCGATTACATACTTTTCTACTTCTAAGAATATAAGGACAACAGTAAAATCCCATATCTAAAGTTTTGCTAATATATTTTTTAAGTAGTATATATTGTCTAACACTAATTACCTAAAATATTTTGAACTTTTCTCTAACCACTATTATAGTTTCAAATAATAACGTAATATGACTACCCAAAATATTCAAAATTTCCAGAAAACCATCGATCACATGTCAGTAGAAGTGGGAGTACCACCTCGACCAGATAGCCCAGAAAACTTAGAGAATTTCGAGCCAGAGATAGATATAGAGGAAGGCTCTTCAAGTCATTGCGGAGCGATAGAAAATAGCAGGGCCTTCTACCATTGGGGGGCCAAAGCTGAGAGCGTGGCTGAATATAAGTATAAAATCCGTGATGATAGTGTAAGGCCAAGGCAATTTCTCGGTACAGATTCTGTAGATGGAATAGAAGCTATACTTAGTGAATGGCAAGGACATTCATTACACGAATTCGTTAATGGTGATGACCCACTTCGCCCTATTATCGATTTTGATTTATCTAGAGAAAAATTTGATAAAATCGAACCCAAGCCTACACCTAAAGAGATAAAAAATACACTTTATAATGCTTTTACAAAAACTTGTTTGGATATATTTTCAGAATGGGACAAAACTACTATCACTATTGCCAGTAGTAGTGATTCAAAAAAAATGTCTTATCATATCTCAACATTT